CAGAGTCTGGGCTACCTGTGGCTCACCCGCATGCGATGGTTATTTTCGCTGACTCAGGTTTAGTTATCTTAGCAGTTTAGTCTGCCTCAGTAAGGTGATAACAAGGACAGGTGAATCCAGCAGATACGACTAATATTTTCCTTCTAATTGACTCGACTATTTTTTTGTTCTCAATTTATTTGCTTGGCGGCGTGAAGTATCAGAAGTGTCTGAGTTCTGACCGACATGATTTTATTGAATTACTTATTATTCCTCATGTTTTGAACATGTTTTGTTGTAAAAAAATTGCTTCATTTGTGATAAAAATATCGTTATTGATACAACTAATAAATTATGCATTGAAATATGCAGAGTATGATCGTTCAGTAATGAAGGCCTCGGGGAAAAAAAAGAGAAGATTTCCAAACACGTGCACTTGTTAAATGCCTGTTAGAAATAAGTTAGAGATAAATCACAAGCCTACGAGAAAAACTATTTTGGACTTTGCACAACATATTTTGAAAAACGTGCCGTCATTGTCCAGCGGTTGTTTTAATCTGTTTGCTAGTAACTATGACAACGAAGCGAAAGGAAAATGGCGGAGTTAGCGGAAAAATGAGTCTTTTGTATCTTATGCAAATATTTGGCCAAGAGCGTCAATCTAGAGCAAATTTCACGGCTAAGAGAGTGACGCAAAACTTATATTGACGTGATCCGCTTTTTTTTTTTAAATTCTGCGTAGCTTTGAAGTGTCTTTTTGCCCAAACTGGTTAGTGTACGAACCCTACCTTATACGCGCGAATCTTTTCCCGATCACAGGTAAGATAGTTGTTATTGTATCCTAACTCGTGCTTAGTTGTTCAAATCTTAGCTTGGAATCATCAATTCGAATATTTATTAGCGAAAACATCATGTAGAGACACTTAACTTGAATTTCAGTGGGAGTGAGAGCTTAGATTAAACTCGATCGAATTCCGTATGATACGTACTAGTTCATTTACAATTTTTTTGAAATGATCGTTAAACCTCACCTTCTGCGCAAAGCAGTAGGTTTTCACATGCAGTTGTAGAGGTGTTTGGTTTAGAAGGAAGAACTTGTAATTTTGATTTCACGAGCAAGTTTTTTCTTGTTCTCACTAAAACTCTTTTCTTTCCCTCGTACAGGCGGACAACATTTTATTTTCATCGCTCCGATTGCACGATCGTGCGAAGATACTGTTGGATAAAACTTACTTTTACTTACATTTGAAGAGCTTAATCAGCGACATGTTAATCGTCATGTCAATTGTGTTTTTGTTTGCGCTCGACGTTGTAGACACACGACCCCATTAATTACAAATGCATTTACTCACTGAGGTACTCTGCGAACAGGCTCAGCTGATAAAATGTCGGTAGCATTTGATGGTTACGGTTTATCCATAACTTCTGAAGTCTTCCCTCCGTCTTTGACTCAAATTGAAGGAGGTGATTTGTTAAATTTGACCTTTCACTTGAATTATAATGGAACAAAGATTGGTGCATTATACGAGAACTCGTCTACTTGTCATGAGCTGAAAAACAGCTCATTGTTCGTGAATCTGGTTATTACTTTGCCAATTGTGTTTGACATTGTAAGCCACTCAAATCAAAGCAGTCAAACCGGGATTGTCACTTCAAACATATCAAACTGTTCGTTTGTGCCATTGTTAAAGATAAACTCCAGCTCTTCAGTTGTTTCTAACCACATGCCAGGAATCAAGGCTCTAAATTTTCACATCTTCTCACAAAATTTTAGTTGGACAGCAACCCTGAATGTCAGACTTAAATTGCTTCCTTCAGCCAGAGCTGATAGTTTATTAAACATAACTGCAAATGTCACAATTTCAAATAAAACTATGGAAGATGACATTAGCATAGCATCATACAGAACTGCAGTTCCTGGTAATCTGCAGTTTGAATTGAAGAGCACATCAATTCCAGAGACACCTGGCCCTACTTTAACTTCAGAGGAGGAAATAACGTTATTTGCAAGCTTTCACATTCCAAGGATAACAGCAAATGTAAAACTTCAGGTACTGCTGCCTGTCTTCAGAAACTCAACACCTATGAAATTTGTAAGTGGATCAGTGGTTGATTTATCAGAAGGAGTGAAACCAAAGTTGCTAATGGAAGGATCAGGACCCAGATTCATTGTGAGTCCTTCAACAGCTCATCTGTTTCCGCTGACTCAAAATGTGGTTGAGTTTGCATTTGGAGATACAGTGAACAAAGGGAATGAATCATTTAATGGAACCATAACAGTGGAAGTTACTGGTGCAGTGGACTCATCCCGTGGTGTTTATATACCAGAAAGTTTTGGAAATGTCACTTGCATTCTTATGTATGATTCACCAAGAGACTCCTATTTAACAGCCAACAAAACTTTGATTACTCTGAAGCTTGGGCAGCCACTACTTGAGTTTCATTTGGAAGCAGATAACTCTGATTGTTGTTATGAAGGTAAAGACATGGTCGACATCAAATACGAAGTCAAGAATCCTGACTTTTCAACTGCTCCTGCATGGAATTTGACTTTAAACATTTCAGTGCTGTCAGCTGACATAGAATTGCACAATTTTTCTGCCTTTTTGTGTGGGAATACCTCAATTTTCAACATGACTTCTAATCAAAGTGTTGCTGAGACCAAATGCCGTGACCTATATGGAACATATATGTTAACAAAAGCTAATGCTGGACTTCAAGTGAAGCTAACAAGGTCAGGTCCTGACTTAAGTAATCCATAGATGCTGTTCATTAGTTACTTTATTATTAAATAAATAATAAATAAATGAATAATACACAGTAGTTATAATGAAAGAATTATTGATTGTTTAGCATCACATCAATTTTCATGATTAACTTATAAGACAGTGCTCATCACATAGCATTCCTAAAGCACTATGTTTTGGAAATGTTCTCAGTATCAGGTCTAAAATGATAGAATTATTTACTGGGTGAGATCAAACACTGTAGAGATAGAGTTACATACACATTTACACACACAGATATTATGGATTCATATATCAGTATGAATTTAATTATATCTAAGGTTTAACCATTGAAAAGGATTAGCATCTAATTTCTCCTTAGAATATCAGAACTGAATCACCCATTAAGGTCATGAGAATATTAGGAAATGATCACCAACCAAAAGATGCTCTTGACTGTTGAACAAATTCTCTTAGTCAGCACCTTAAGTAAAGTATGGAAAACTGTAAATAGAATGTATATAATGATGTTAGGGTGTAAAGCCGGTTAAGGCTAACTACTTGTAAGACTTAAGGTGTTTGACAAATTTTGCACAATTTTTTTGTAGGTTGAATGTATCTTCATGGGTGTATGGTCATCTACATAATTATGTGAATTCATCAGTGGCAGCAGGAAGTTTCCATGACAACAACTTAACTCTGGAATACACTCGCAAAGGCTGGTTGCCAATTGGAGATGTTGACACAGAGACAATAGGGATCAAAAATGTCGCAGCCCTGACTCCCTCTGTTCTTAGTAGTGATGTGCCTGATCCGATAGGTGACCCAAAGGATGTTACTATTGGAGAAGAAATAGTTTTGCAAGCAATTGTTCAGATCCCTGTGTCTACAAATCCAGATTTTTTCTTAAAACTCTTTGGGAGTGGTTTTGAAGCAGTAGATGGGCAGATCACCACAGTTGGCAGAAATATAAAATCACTTGAACAACGGATTGATGCAGCTTACAGTAAGTTCAGATGCAGTGTATGTAATATTTATGAACCTCTGAAATTCTCCAAGGACTTGTTTACATGGAGGCGGGGAACTCTAGGTAACTTGGGTAACCTGCCTTGCTGTGGTTGAAAAAATAGTCAGCATAAACTCACAATCTTGCCACCCTGGGATCCTGGGGTGAAGTTTTTGGTGCATGTTATAAATGTAACAGGAAGGCAACCCTGGCTAGGCAGGTAACCCCACCTTGAGATGTTTACATGGCAAATTGTGACCCTTGGGCTGACAGGGTTACCTTACCCAGTAGACTGGGCAGCCTGTCTAGGTGGGTTACCTCAAGTATTATGAAAATTTGATCAAAATAAAATAAGAGATTATATGGACAGGCAGGTTACCCCACCTACATGGGGTCCCCCAGCTCCATGTCAGCAGGCCCTAAGATGCTATTAATAATGGTAATAGGACTAGGAGGAATCCAATTTGGTCTGTAATCATACAAGTGATTAACAAAATTGGACAACTGCGAAGCAGGAGTCTAATTTTTTAATCATGAGTATGATTACTGACTGAATTGGATGACACAAAGTCCTGTTACCAATTAATCAAAACTATAGCAAAATTTGAGAAAGAAACTAGACATCGGTTGTACATTTTCATTAAGAAAAAAACAATTAACTCGGTGAAATGCAAGAGAGCAGCACACGACATGACATGATCTGTCCACTTACACAGGTATGACATTTTAACTGTCCCTTAACTGTCCTACTGCACTGTCCAATTACAAGCATGGCATCTACACTGTCCTATTAGTCCTCAAATTGGGCTGGTGATAATTTTGGTATAGTTTTGAGTAATAGAGAAACAGTCAAAGCCAATGAGGTTGAAGAGGCACAATTGATCAGCACAAAAGGGAGTTTACAGTGGGTAGTTGAAGGTTAATAGCTCTTAATGTTAAGCAATCGTGAAATCAGACTAATATTAATATTACCCAGAGGTTTCAATAACTTTTTCCATAAGTGGCTGTAATGGGTGGCTGTGGCTGTAGCTGGAAAAGGAACCATTAGGCCAAACCTAAACACATGAGCCTGTTGGACCCCTGGTAGCCCACTTTTATTGAAACCCCTGATTACTGTACATGTACCTCAGATGACTGTCAGAAAATGATATGGAGGAAATGATCAAACCTTGGAAGTTCAGGGATCATAAGCCATCGTGACTATTGCTTTTGGTTTTTGAAACCCTGTTAAATATTCTGTTTAACTTACTCATTATTTTACAGATCTCAATGTCTCTGGATCTACTGTAAGTAGCAATTTAGGAACTGTTGTGAATGTTGGAGACAATGCCCAGTTGTCGGCAAGTACAATTACCTATACTGCAACCATGAGGGTTGCTGATGTTGTGCAGAACATAAATGGCAAAAGACTAGCAATTGTATCTGATACAATCGTCAATGGACAACCCCAAGTTCCCAGTTCATTGACATTAAAGGTGTGTACATGTCTACTGTGAGTTAATGATCTGTAATATTTGTAAGGAAAATGCAATATAATTTTGAAACTTCAATTTGCTTTCCTTAGCATTGATTCATTTCACTTGTCACGTAATATTTTTGCAGGATGTTAGCCAGCTAATTAGTAAAGATTTAATTAATTCATCTCACTTTTTATGGCAAAATTAAGTTGTTTAGATGAAAAATTAATGCACATGGAACATTGCCATCAAAGGCTGTAAATATATGAAAATCATATATATGGCGGCACTCTACAAACTGAGCTAACAAGCTAACTGGGAGCTGGTCATTATGTTGGATCCAAATATACCTTTGAAGGTTTAAAACCAAGCTCAGTTGGTAGAGCACTGCACCGGTATCACAGAGGTTATGGGTTCAAATACTGTATGGGCCTGAATTTTTTTCAGGCCTCATTTCAACTATTAGTTCAGTAGTGTTTAAGCTGCAAGGATCGCCTCTTAATTTATTGCCATCCAACTTTCAAAAAGGTTAAAAAACTGTGCACCAATTATGCATGAATAGATTTGCAATCATGTACAGTGATGTGGTGTTTCACTTAATTGATGATAGAGAAATAGGGATGTAAAGTCTCACCACTGCATACAGAGGTTGTGATTGCATAGTTATTTTTATATCAATAAAACTTCAATTCTCACTTGAATTATTTCCTTGTCTACTAAAGGTTGTCCTACCTGATTTATCTGTCACTGTCACTGTAAATAAGATATCTGGCGTTGACCCAAATGATGATCTTACATTCACCGTCAAGCTGAGTCATTCTAAACACTCAGCATCACATGCATATCGGGTGCTTCTGGAGATTGCTGCATCTGATGAGTACTTTGAAAATGTTCAAGAGGTTGGCTCTCCAGATGTAGGAGTTTTGTCTGTGGTTGCTGGCAACAATGCCCCAAGTGGAAATCCAAGGTAACATGTTTTTGCATTAAATCCACTCTTTATATGGATATGAAATTTTAATTAATCCTAATTAACTCCCATGAGTGACCAAAACAGAATTTCTCCTTACAATATCAATACAATATCAAACAGACACGTGATGAGAATATAGGAAAAAAATAAAAGTTAGGGGATTATAAGCTGATCCAATACCAAATTCTCCAAACTAACATTATGAGAGCTGTATGGCAGACAGTGAGGAGAATTACCAATGAGATCTTGGGAGTTAAAGGGTTAAGCAATTTGTTTAACCCTTTGACCCCCAAGAGTTACTAGTATCTAAAGCTACTTTCTCCTTACAATATCACTCCCGAATCATACATAAAGGTTATGAGAATAAATGAAATGATCACCAGCTAAAGAAACTCTTGATTTCTCATCAAATTCTCCTTGTCAGCACCTTAGGAAATGTGTAGAGAATGGTGAGGAGAAAATAGATACTGATGTTGGAGTGTAGAGTGTTAACTGAGGTTTAATTCTTGAACCTGGTGTCACGTATGAGTTGATTGTTTTTGTTGTTGTTTCCTGATGGTTCTTTAATGATCATCCCTTCTCAAAAAAACTGACCCTTGGAAAATTCCAGTTTGAACATGAATTCTGTCATGAACTTTAACTCCCATGAGTGACCAAGACAGAATCTAGATGAATCCTTACAATATCAAGCAAACAACTGATGATGAGAATAAAGAAAAATATCAATTAAATTCGAACTCTGAAAGCTAATTTTTTTTAAGCTGATGGTCATGGGAAAGAGAAGTTTGCTTCTAAAACTATATTATGTGTTATCTCCATCATTGTTATTGTACTAGACTTGTACCGTTGGCCGACTGTGGTCCGAAAGCTGGCCGACAGTTGGACGACACTCGACCGACCGTTGGCCAACTGTTGGTCGATTTTTGGCCAATAGTTGGTCAACTCAGCTGAAGTTCAACCGTTTGTTGACGGACAGGTTTTCTAAGGGAGTTGTTCTTCACAATAGCCGACAACTGCACAATTTGTTTGTGCAGTACACGCACATTTGTTATGTTTAAATGTGTATGGTAGCCTATTATAAAATAAATGTTATTATATTTCAGGTATAATAATTCGAACACAAAAGTGATTCTTTATCAAGTTACCGATGGCCTGCTCCTTGGTAAGAGCGTCTCCTTTCAGTACAAGGCTACAACTGTTGGTAACCTTCAGCCCAGCATATACATCTCTTCCCCGGTCTTCCTCTCCTATGCAACACTGCCGCCCAGTTTGTCACCTCGAGAAGGGAGAAAGTTTGAACATAACTCTGATCAGGTGAGAAAAGTCTCTTCAAAAAGATGTTGCTGTTACTTAACAGTTATTGGATAATGTTATGACTTGTAGCAAAAATGATCGAAGCCGAGGTTATTTTTTATCAGCTGGAGTCGAAGGCTTGTTTGTTTTTGACGATCTTATCTTCGCTAATTTGACGAAAAGTGGAAGTTGTTTGAAAGAAATTATATGCAAAGAAGTTAAGTTTTGCGTGAGCCAAAAAAAAACAACAAAAAAACAGAAACAAAACGAGACGATGTATTAAGGCTTCTGCGCACTTGCAATCAAAAACCAAAACCCCTACAGATCGAGTTTCCTTCAAGATATTTTCAATAAATTCTATGACTTGTTTCTCTTTGATTCTACAGGCTTCTTTTCTCACTTTCCGCCCTCTTCCATATGTAACAGTTAGCTTCCAGGCTCCCGCCAATGATTCGTTTGATGCCGGTGACAGAGTAGAATATGAACTGATCCTAAACAACATTGATTCAACAATATCAGCGTATTCACTGTCTGTAATAGTATCCTTTGAGACTGTCGACACCAACAGTCTCAACACATCTTGCAGTGGAGGTACGCCTAAGTTTAACGCTACCACAAAGCAATCAAGACTCTTCATAACACCTCTGGCCCCCTCACAAAGCATCCACTGCAAGTACGAGTCTCGACTCCAAGCTCGCGTCAGCCCAAAGCAGTTGATCTCTCAGATGGTTACCGTAGAGTACTACAACAAAGATGTAGGAAACAACCCGCAGAATGCGGCAAGCTATAATGAAAAGAGACATGCTAACATTACTACCAAGTCTATCGATACCTCGATACTGTCCAGTAAGAATGCGGATAAGTTAGAGGCAGGTGATCCAGTTAATTTTACCGTTCAGTTACAACTCCCTGAGTGTGAGACCAACTTGAGTGTAGTAGTTGATTTGCCCACAGTCCCAGAGAGCGTTATTGATCTGGCTCGTAAAAGGAGGAGTTTACAAGGAATCGGAATTGAGAGTGAAGAGGATAACTTACGGTTGGTTGTTTCCTTTTTATTGTTGTCTTTTTGGTTGTTGTTTCAGCATTTTTTCTTTTCCTCAAACTTTATTCACTGGCCCCCCAGCTCACTTGGAAATTAGGTTACTTGTTAAACCCCATCACGCATAAAGTGGGATTTAAGTGATTTAATTTCTTCACCGTTTTTCCTCTAATAAAGAAATAGTATGAATCTTTGAAAACAATTGAGACTTTTAAATCCCATACAAATCCATATACTTGCCATGTTCGATTTTGCGGTTTAACACGTAATCAACTCTCCAAGTGCTTTTGGGGGGGGGCCTGTGCTTTATCGTGCATATTGTGATTCTTTGGCATGCCTGCCTTATAAATGCCACCCTTTCTTGAAAAGGAAAAAAAATTCCTTTTTTTATTAGAGCGCATTTCTACCCAGTGCTTTATAGCAAAAACTAGATCAGCAATACAACTAATTATAGCAACCTCATTTATGCCTGTGCTGGTACTAATCACGCTCGTCATTAGAACATTAAAACTTTACAAAATACTGAAATTGACAGGCAGAAAGTGTCGAGCGCGTGGAACAGTTTCCTGTATAATTTGTGGAAAAATCATGCAATTCCAAACGATATTGAGTCAAGACGTTCCTCAAGTCGTGGCCTTTTAGGTCAGCATCCTCAAGTAACAGGCTTCGTACACGCTTTTAGCTATATCTGTATTTCCTTCCTATTATTTCTTTTTTTTCCTTTTCTAACTTAAAAGGGATAATTTTTTCACCAAGATTATGCAATGAAAGACATAGGTCACCGTACAATGACTGAAAAACGATACCGTTTCCTCGGAATACGCCTAATTACATGATGTTATGCGCAGTAAAAGGTGCGCAGTATAATACTGATAGTGCGCGCGCTGAACAATTTTAAATTGTGAGTTTGTGAGCATTATTACGCAAACGATTATTGCGTATTGCATGTCGCAGTTCTCAGAGAGTCGCGTTTACCGTTTTCCCGTTGTTCCCGTTTTCAACCGATTGAATCAGTTCGTTCTTTAAAAGGGTTTTCCGTAATCACCAACGAACTTTTGACTGATTAGTTAGACTCATCTGGGTGTTTAGAGCCATTTATGTTACCTTATAACAGTCTTAATTTTAAAGTACTCTTATCCTGGTAATTAACGGTTTCCAAATGTTTATTTGTTTAAATATTTAACCTTCAGTGTTTGTTTATTTTGAACAGGTCTCGGCACAAGCGTTCAGCAGGTGTGGTCAACGCCCTATCTCCTATTCTAGGTGACAGTTTTGTGAAGTACGGAGATGGCCTGACTTTATCTCTGATCCCAGTCATAACACCTGCGAACCCTACGACTCTGACTATACCCTTTGGTACTGTTCAGAATCTTCCCGGCTCTGGATCCAATGATACAATCGAGATCTTTCTAAAGTTTAACACCGCAAACAGACCACTCATTCTTAGTGGACGACGCCTGTACTTGACAGTGAAGTTGAATTTTGATGCTGGATCAGATAGTGGGGTGAAACAGTTTGTTATCGTTGGACCACTGGTGAAGCCACTACTGTCCATTGTTAAAACTGTGGAGGTATGGTAGTTTTAGCGCTTTTCGGTTGAGTGTCGTAACAATAATTAAAAAAACCAAAGCTCTTCGTGCCTCGTTCGGAAATCTTCGCTTTACGACCGTGCTGGGAACGGAAAGGTTCGCTCGTCGACCTGTTGCGGACAACAGACTGGCCAGTAACTTGATCGCATAAACATGTATCATTGAGCAATCAACAAGAACGACTCGTACTGAAATTGGTGGGTTCATTGAACTAGAGAATAGCCAAGTTTAAGTCCTCTGCTCCTGTGACCTTTCTGAAGTTGACTTTCTACTAAATCCTTTACAACTTTCTCGGCAAATTTCCTGATCAAGACATATAAAACTTGTACACAAGGCAGTTTTGTCCTTGCTTACAAGCTTTTGAAAAAAAATATTTGTTAAAGTCATGTCGTATTTTCCACCTATACCTTGGAGAAAAGTTCTCAAAAAAAATGTTTGGAAACGCAGCTTGCGTTTTATCTTTAACCATGCCTCAGAGAGCAGAGGAGTTAATTCGACTCTATTTCTAGTTAAATAAACCGTAACATTGCATCGCTGGTAACTACTAGCGCTAAATGCCCACAATAAATTCTGTAAGAGGTTTTTGTTTAGCAGAAAGATTTCCAGAAACGTGTAACGCGATTGCGTGTGTCAACGGTCAACAACGATATAGAGTCGTGCTGCAATCGTCCACCGCCATCTGCTAGGCCTCTTACCGCCGCCTGTGTAGCTTGTGAGGAGACAGGCGGGCACAACCGCATATTACACCATCGGCAGCCCCTTAGGAAGAAAGATCATCGAAACCCCTGAATCGTACAGTTAATTTAATTAGAAATACCGTCAAATTTAACTTCTCTGTCTCCTGTGCAAGATACTCAAGTGTCTTTTTTTCCCCATGTTTTCTAGATAGCAGAGAAGAACGTGGACTCGCCTCTTGTGTTATTTAACATTACCGTCAGTCACACCAACGCCTCTGTTTACGATGCGACCAACCTAACTGTCCAGGATTCCACACAAGGAATGGATTTTTATGATTCTGATTCGTCGACTCAAGGCGCCTTTGTTACGTTTCCCAGAAAGAACAGCTTTGAAATTCGTTTTACCCTTCGAAGTCTACGCGGTAAGTTTGGGATAACTTCATATTGCAAGAGTTTGAAATAGTGTTTATCAACACATTTGATTGATGGAATATCTGATTGATTGACTGGTTTATTAGGTAAAAAACTGATCTGTAACAGCTTGAAAGGGTGTTCTCATTCATCTTACTCGCTTGAATTAAGCGAGATCATTTTTTCTGTTACTTGTTTTCTTTTACTGCAAAGCCTTAGTTTGATTTGTTGATTGATTGACTAATTGATGGAGAACATGTGTAACAAATCCACTACAACAAAAATCAGCGATCGCTTAATGGTATGTTAGTTCTTCAAGTACTTCTAGACCTTACCATTGTTTATCAATTGGCTCATGGTTGGTGAAATAGAACACTCGGAGAGAAATTTCATATCTACAGGCAACCATGTAATTATTTTGGCCTTTTTTAAACACTATAGGCCTGAAAAATGATCTTGAATTGAGAATCGTGAACGCTTTGATATTCTTTCATCGACCTGACGGAGTGGCGCGAAAGGCGGGTGACGTGTCAGTAGCTGATTGGCGATAAGAAACACGCATAAAATACTATCGTAATTTTATACTTGTGCAGTTACTACTTTTATCGGGACTGGATTTCCTTGTAAAACACCGCCGTGTGAACATTAAGAGTAAATAACGTCTATATTGCCCTATTCAACTGTTTCATTTCAGGACAACAGAGATGAGGAAAACTTGTTAAAGAGACATTTCTAAGCTTTATCCAGAAGGATTGGATTACAAATTTTTCTCTGCAATCCTCCTGGATAAAGCTTAGCTTGTCACTGCATGGAAAAAATTTCTTGTACACAGGGAATTGTAAGAAAAAAACTGATCCCAACAACATCATATTCAACACGCAATATCGTCATCACCAGTGGATTGACAAAAGGAACCCTTCATTTGATCAAAATAGTTCGATTTTTTAATCGACTGTTGCACAGTCGCATTGTGATCAGTCCCAATAATATTTTTTAGAAGAGTTTTTACTATTCTACACTTTGCTGATTTCAGTTGAATACATCGCGGAACCTGTACATCGGCTTCTGTGCTCATATCCTCCAATCTTTCTTGGTTAAGTCTCCAAAGTAACGCAAGCTAACGAAGTCCGCAATCCGCGTTGATACTAGAGATCGAGTATTGCAAAGACATCAAACTGAATATTGTTTTTCTATTTTACAGTTGGTGAGACAAGATCCTTTATCTATGTGGCTCGATTTAAAGTGGATGAGAAGGTTGGTGATCACCTGCCACAAACTCAACCAGTTGTCTTTGTTCAGTTATTCTAACTCGTGTATTTCTATTTTCTTCCATTAGGAGCCGACCACGCTGCGTATCCCTGCTACAGTGACATGGAAGAGTGTACAGGTGAGAAGATGTGAACAGTTTTATGTCGAACAAGAACTGTAATGTCCTATGAAATCTATGAGAGAGGCAGAAAAGTGGAGTTTTAAAGGAGATATGAAGTTGCTAACAGAGATCTTTTTGTTTTCTTTTTCAGCTAAACAGCCTGACTTACAGAGTCTCAAGCGATGCCAGCACGTCTTGTCTTCAAAGAGCTGACGTGGATGAACCAGAGGTAACAACGAAGATTGATGGTAGAATAAACTCATCCCGCTGCTTTCAGCTATTTTCATCAATTTATCATACTATGAGGCAGATTACGTAGCATTCTTTTTCGTTTTTGTCTAACAAAGCGAGAGAAGCGTGAGCTAAGCGGGAGAATCGTGAGCCGCGCGTGAGTCGCTCGATTCTTTAGCATGATTCCCTCTCAGTTTACACTGCTCCCCTTCAGCTAAATGATAACGGAAAAGACTTCTGTGTACTTTTACAGAGCCCAATTGTGCGAAATATGGTTTATGATCCTACGCGGCGTGTAGTGCGAAATCTGTGAGCATAATGAAAGCTATAAGTTTAAAGGAACCTGTATGGTCAAGACCAAAGACGACACCCATTCTCTTAATTGAGCGTGTTCCAAAACACAGATTCCATTGTTGTTTTATTCACTTGAGCGTTAGTAACAGATCTCTGAATTACGTTTTAGCTCATTGACTATATATTGCATTAACAACATGGCATTTTATTTTCTAGCGTCGTAAAGTGTTTGGTTATTTTGCTCTTGGCGTTTTCCTTGGTTTGTTATTCGGAGCTCTGATTGCTGCCATCTTGATACTGGTGGTGATAAAATGTTGCGATAAGGGCAAGATGGCGCCGTATTATACGGTGAGTCCTATAAGCCTGTTCAGCGAGCCGTGAACAACTTAAGGCAAACACGCTACGATACCACCCTTGAGTGCTTTAAAATCGTTTATCTGTTCCCGGAAGTGAGCGACTAAAGTTTTAGTGATTGTGTCTGCCATATCGTGGATATCAATTCTGGGCAATTTCTTATAATTTTCAGATGTTTCATTTTATTGTCAGATGATCAGGTCAACCTTTGCAAACAGGTCAAAAAAAGTAGAAGCCCCTGTTTCGGTTTTTGTGGTGTTTTGTGCTTCCTCACTCCTTGACCTTACTGTCTAAACTAAAATCGTTTACAGAATTTACCTTTTACAAAAGTATGTACTCGGTCGATCTTGAAACCCTTTCATTTGTTTTATCTTTTCCAGCGCTTTACTAACACAACCACCATGACTGTTTTGACTGGAGGATCTCAGTATATTTACCACGGCGGTGAAATGCCAGACAACAAACCAGTGGAAACACACAAAGAAATCAGGTAAGAAGAAAGATGTTCTAACATAAGTCTTTTGCAGCGCCTATTTACTCGTTTTAGACGTAACTACGAATGGGAAAAGCGACACACGATCAACCGCTACTGTTTTTGGCGACTCAAAGCTCAGCCCGTCATCACTAACTGACAAACTTCCTCGCTAGGTGAAAAGAAAATAGTCATAAAAGTTGTGCAACGATAAAGAAAGACATACCGTTGGGTCTTGCAATTAGAGTAGATGTCAAAGGCACTTTTGTTGATTAATTTACATCTGAGCACTATGAGCGAAAGAATATGAATTTGAAAACTAAAGATTTGCGACGCTGTTATCTATTTAACAATTAGCTTTGAGCTCAATACTTCTCAAGCGCCTTCATCAACCATCATGCGTAGAAATAGAGAGCGAATGATCTAAACATTTCGGAGAAAACTACTTTTAGTTTAAAACTTAACAAGACTTGCTCGTGGTTTCGTTGAATAGTGATACGAATGAGTCACGCCCGTTGACTCACTATCCATCACAGAATGAAGAGTGTCGTAGCTAATCAGATTGCAGAATTTGTGATATCTAAAAATTATATGGAATTTTTTTTATGCTTATTTTTCAGTATTGTTCAAACTGACGAGAGTATCGTGCCTATTCTAGCTCTGGACAAAGCTTCTCAGACAGAGAAAGAGTTCAACAGGTAAAGACGAAAGTTAAAGAGCACACTGCAAAGACCACTGAAATATTCTACAACAACGTAAAGTTTCGCTACTTTACAGAACTTTATGCAGAAATTATTTAAGTAGGCTTGTGACGAGAAACGTTGTGGAAAAAGGCTCTCAACTTTCCCAAAGTCATTAAGGCGGGTGAATTGCCTTTGGCAACTTCACTGTTGAGTTAGAACGCTCTTCGATTGGTAGTCCTAAAACAAAAACCAAAGTCATTGCAACGACGAATCGGAAGATAAAAAAATGATCTGAAGAGCCAATGAGAACTCAGTGATCTTGAACTGGACGCTTTCCTTTTGTCTCCTTAGCCTTGATGTACAAGCTACAGCGGCTCTGGATGCTGACTTGGAGGCTCAACGACAAAACATGTTTATCAGAGCTCTCAAACTGCTGGCCAAGAAACTGCGGGTGAAAAGAGACATATCAACTGCACAAGAAAACAAGGTACGTCCACCTCTGATGACAAGAGTCTCGAGGTAGGCTTTACATCAGGTTTACATATGTCTTATGCGGGAAGTTGTGAAGTTGCATAGCAACTCGAGATGCAATTCCGTGATATGATGTTGCACACTAAGTTAAAGGAGAGTGCATCTTGCGTCCGTATATCATGCTTGTGTGCACGTGCCCACATGAGTGGAAGGCACCTTTTGAATAGATTCTATAGTGCATAACTAAACCTGAGAACAAAAGACTCAATTTTTTGGCCTTTATCATTCTCCGCAGTTTGCGTTGGAAATCAAGCAGGCAATCGGTGCAGTGGCATTCAAAATGGCAGCAGAGTACAGGAGGAAATCTGCTGAGCTCAGAAGGAGGCTGACAGCAGACGGAAAGGTAACCTCGCCACTATAATATTAGAACTTCCAAGATCTTATTTGGAGTTCACCTTTCTAGCTGCTACACATTTGTAAATTTTTTCAGAGAATTTGGTGCGTTACCAGGGTAACATTCTCTAACTGATAAGTTTGGTTCTTCTCATCACATTTGTGTTTGATAATGTATCGTTATTTTTAGGGGGAAATTGCATGTTGATCACTTCTAGGGTTATGGAGAAACTGTCTTTAGTAATGGAGAGGTCATTTGATCGACGCAGAATTCCTTAAATTCCTTGGTATGCTTTTGCAGAATCGTTTAGATGCCTTACATCGGGAGCAAGCGAAAGAACGAGAGGAAACTGAAAACAAAATCAAGGGACTTGTGAATGAGGTGAGGAGAAATTTAGTTGTGGTATTTGCGGTTGAAAAAGGGGTTTTTCAATGTCGACAAAACCTTCGCTTGGTTATTTGGTCTAGATGCAGGTGTTGTTGAATCAATATGTGCTGGTTCAGTTTATTCTTGTTTTTGAAAGTTTTTTTATTTTGGTTTCTGGTTGGTGAGCTTGAGCGAAGTTTGAAGTAGTGATTAAGTGAAACAGAATCCAGTCGCACCAAAAAGTTCAAATGTGACATTTTAAGTAAAGTTGCTTAAAGCCTCGCTCAGAAAAAAGATGAGGCTTAAAAACGGCGAGAAGCATCTCGCTAGGGTAAAACTAATGACAAATATTTTTCTCGACTTGTCTGCATCTCGGGCAGTTTCTGCTTATGGACACTCGGAAGATAATGAGCGAGAGTGAGGCCCTAATCTACTGTTCAAAGGAGCCCAAAAAATGACCAGTATGACCTGGGTTCGATTCCGGCACTTTCTGCACAAGAGTCATGAGTATTTTTTTTTCGTTCGATTCAGCGAGAAAAGAGGAACATCCTTGAACTTCTGAAACGGCGGCAAGATGCCCAAGAAGAAGAGCTGAAACAGAATCTAAAACTGGAGCAAGATGTTGAGATGGAGAAGCTCAGAAAGGTAAAAAACAACCTTTCCTTTGCGTTTAAAAGCTAGAATTCATTTCAGTTAAGTTTTAAACCATAGAAAACAAAATTTTGGTGTATAATTTCTACTTTGTTTGGATCTCTCCGTTTGATTGGTTTCCAACCAGACAGAAAAAATGTTAGAACCATATTTTACAGCATGATAAACAGTACTGCATGGAAGACCTGCTGGTAGCTTTTATTCGAATCATCACACGCAAGGTTTTTCTCACAGAAGTATTATGTTTTAACCATACATGTTTTACATCACAATAAACAGTATCGCATTAAAGAGCTGGTCAGTAGCTTTTATTTGCATCGACAGCTAAGGGATTTATTCACAGGTACTGTATACGCGACAGAACCTCCTTGTACAATGCATGTCAAGCTGTTACCTGTAAGTTATACTGTCTTTTTCGGTTGTATTCTTCTTTGTAGGAAATTTCGATAAGTAAACGTTTTGCGCTGAAAGAATCTCAAAACCAACTGATTCAGAATTTAATAAAGGATGCAAAACTGAATGAAGAACAAGCGAACGCCATTATGAAGAATCACTTGGCCAACATGGCCGCCATAGACAAAGCTACAGACGAGGAGCGGGCCAGACGTGTCATGGCGCTGGAAATGAGGTTGGCAGAGCGAAGGGCGCTAGCAAAACAGAAGGTATATTAGGAAGCTAAATTAGCCTGAAATTGCATGTCGACGTTTTACCTTTTCTTGTTGGTGCTATTTTAACTTTGAAAATTGCTTCAAAGCTAAACTCACCACTTGTCTTTTCTTCATAGCATGAAGAAGAGGAACGTAAAAAAGGAGATCTAGGCAAGTTAGAACAAAATCACGCCGAAGCACTGGAAAATCTTGTCCGGTAAGACTGTGTTGCTCTACTTATGTTTGACCATACAAGAAAATGTACAAATTGAAGCTCCCTTATCAAGATGACTGAACTGAGATAATCCCGGGTAGATAGAGCCCTTTGGCTTGTAAAACCAAACCTTCATTATTATCTTCGTGTCACCAGGTCATCGAATCTCAACTCAGAAGATGCTGCGACTTACTTGGAACGATTTAGAAAAGACTTGGAGGTCGTGGACAGCAAACTTGCAAAGGACAGAAAGCGCCAGGAACAGAAATTACATCATAAACTGACGGCACTTAAGCAGAAAAGAATTGAAGAAAAGGTACACTAAGTGGTTCGATAACATTGTTCTTCTCATCTCGTTTATTGTGAAAAGTCGTATTGCAGAAGTAAGCTCTAAGTTCTCAGTTTCGTCATTTGCAGTTCGTATTAATCTTCGTCTTCAACTATCCATGCTCCTTGTTAGGTTTGCCGCTCATGTTTTTTCCTATCTTTCCGAACTAATGTGTCATTAACTATTCTCGATGCTTGTGTTTGCACTCACACTGTGTACCTCTGAGTTTGAAGTCAATTTTGAAAGTCTTACATGACACAGTGTGTGTTTTTCGCCTTAACAGAAAATATGATGATTTACTGTACAAACACCGGCTTTTTTCGACAATTTTGATTAAAGTATCTTCAATAAAGCTCGAATGACTAATCAAACAGGCAATCTCGTCGTTGATCCGTATTCTTCAAATTTATCATTCGTTCACGCTCAAGAAACTAGGCTACCTGTGCATGATTTATAACATCTCTGATAGTTATATTCTAAATAGCTTCATTTAATGTTGATAGTTCTTTATTAGCCTGTTTTGATTGCTTTTAGTTGCGCGAGCATCAGCGGGAAATCAAGGAATTTGAGGAACAACAGGATGAGAAGTTTGAACAAGTAGAAATTGGTGAGTTGAATAAACCCATTTTTTGAATATTTATGATCAAGTTTCTGGTCTTAGCATTATGTGGAACGATTACAGCATTTTAACTTGCATGACCAGGTTACCAACAGCAATTCTGCCGCTTAGTTGGTGAAGTATTCGAGCTGAAAATCTGAAGGTCTATCATTCAAAATCCCGTATGGGTTTGAAGTTTTTCTTTTTTTCTATGTTATGGAAAAACTCTATCAAAATTTTTAATGTTTTTCTGGATGGTTATTTTTAGTCTATTTCGCCTCTTTTAGTCAGTTATGTCGGACAAATGCAATTATCTGAGGAACTATTTTGCAACAGAATTGATGAAGTTATCCCTTGAATAAGATAAGGTCAAAATAAATTCATGAAGCTTATCAATTAAAGGTACTAGACGGTTGAATTTAACCTAGACAACAAGAGTATAATGTCAATACAACTTTTGTTTTTTTCAGATACTGTGTCTTCCATAACTGAGAAGCAGAAAATTTTGCAAAAACATCGACAAGAAATTGAGGAAATAGAGCAAACTTCAGACAGAGAGGTAAGCTCTGCTCACAACGCAATAGCAAAATGTCTTTATACAAAGATGTAATAGAGGTTTTGATATTTAGTTGTTATAGACAGGAACGGATTGTCCAGTTTGGGGCAAAGGGGTGGTACACTGTAGGTTGTTGTGTTACAAATAATTGCTAAAGGGGGGATGAGCCACTTCACCCTTAAACCCCCCCCCACCCTTTCTCTTCTAAAGCCACCTTTGTCTCGAATTTGATGTGTTGCTTTAAAACGGGAGGCGCCCTTTTCAAAGAAACATATCATACTCAAGGCAAAGCCTCTCGCCAACGTTTTGTGCTTTGACCTGTTCTGGGTATAGAAGTTGGTTTAAAGTTGAGTGGTAGTCCCACGAAGTCCTCATTAGATGTCACCGAACTTATCTCGTCTACCTCTTAGTTCATGACAGCAGTTGTTTTTTATGTGTACCTTGGAAATTGTGGGCGGGAAATTGGCGCGCGGTCAGCCGAGATTGATCTCCTTGCGCATGTTCGACGTCAGACTGCTATGTTGCTCAAAATATGACTCACAAATACGAGTATTTTACGCCTCAGTGAGTTCGTCCATTCTGTTTTACTTGAGGAGTGATTTGTATGACTTTTTTCTCGAAGGCTGCAGAACAAATCGAAGCCCTCAGAGATCAACAGACACATGATGGGAACCAGATGATCAAAAACAATACTCAAAAAATGTATCAGGAGTTGGTTAATAAAGGTAAGGAATTTATTAGAAAGACATTGACCTTGGTCGACCGATCTGACAGTTGGCCGTTATGATTTAATTTGGTTCTAGTTTTACAACACTCAATCGAAAAGCACTCTGGTTTTGAATCTGATCATTTGTGAGGTTGGTAGCTTTTCCAGATAATTGTTGATCAATGTGAAGTCACACTAATGTAAACTGGAATTTTCTTGTAGGTTTATCTGAGTCTGAGAAGGAAGCAATTTTGGAACGGCATATGGCGGACATTGCGATGCAGCAAGAGGCCAGAGAAGAAGAGCGAAAACGTCAAAGAGGAATGCTGGAGGTTAGTTAATTGTTTGTGAAAAAATTTTTTTTCTCACTCAACGAACCATTCGTCTTTTGTACTTCTGAGCCGAAGAGGGTTGTGTCTATGGTAGCTTTCCTATCTGGTGTTAGATAGACTAAGTCTTGGTGTATAAAATCCTTCAATGTGGTAAAGAACTTCTCTATTGCATAGAGTCCCAGGAGATATGGAACTGAGTAACAGTAGGCTTGGTGGTTGATACACAAAATTTTCTGCTTTTTCGTGAGCTTGCATTTTTGCTGAAATACATCAATGTGAGCTCAATAGAAGTTAACTACACCTGACATATCAATAACTTTTCTTGGTCAACTGTTACCGATTGATTGACTGATTGATTGACTGATTGATTGACTGACTGATTGACTGATTGATTAATTGATTGATTGATATAGAAAAGACTAGAAAAACAACGTGCTGCTTTAGAGAAGAAAATGAAGGAAGAACAAGTGGAACAGGCCGAAATCAGGAAACAAGAGGATAAGATCGTAGGGTAAGTCCTCGAATTACTCTTTCTGGCAGACTTGTTAGATAATGTAATTACATTAGTTTCAACTTAACTCTTAGTTGCACTGGCATGAAGGCAGAGGAATCTCGATTGCTCAATTGAATTCGATTTTTTTTTCTGGGTGCACAAGGGTTTAATGATTTCATTTCTGTTTGTGAACTTTCTACTGTTTATTTTTATTTTTTTCTATATTTATTATTTCCATATATTTTTTTTAACTTGGTCGGAATGAACACTCAGGCTCCCAGTTCGAGTTTGAAATAGAAAATGAGAAATATTGCTTGCTAAAAGGCTTTGTGGATATGAAAATTCTTGCGATGTGTATCGCAATAATTGTTTGATAGAAGAGCGAGTGTAGAAGGTCAAGCGAGCGAGACGTAAAACTTTTAAATCTTTACAGGGATTTGATAATCAATCAAGTTGCAATGTCTGAGGAGGAAAGAGAGAAAATCATTCAAGAACACGAGAAGAACCTGGCTGCACTTGAAAGCAGGTAGGGATTTCCTCATCAACCTCGCCTTACTAATTTTCACTCGTGCTTTAGTTGTATCCTAACACATTTAGCCTCAGTTCGATTGTGCCATTTTCATCTTCTATTCTCAAATAACCGGGCATAGGTCTCATATTCCAGGTTTTGTTAACTACTGTCTCCCCATAAGAGCTTCATATCAAATGTTTTTGTCTTGGTGTCGCATTTTTCGTAATTTTGGCAATCCGATAGAGTTCTTTTCAGACCTTGCCAGGTGTATGCCAATATCTTACCAACACCTCTTGCATGTCAGTTGACGCAAGTGATTATGGATCTTTTCTTATTGTTATTTTTTTTCTTCTTTTTCTTTTCTTATTAGTCTGACCCTAAACAAGTTACGTCAACGGCAAATGTTGGAGGACAAACTTGCCCAGCGGAGGAAGAGAAGAATGGAGGAGTTGGAACAGAAACAAATGCATGAGACTAAGGTATCAAATTTCCTAAATTGCTCACAGATTTCCTGTCTAAGGGAGCCTGAAACTCAGGCTTCCATGGATACTTTCTTCACCCGAAAATCGACACAAAAGCGAGTGAGAAAATCAAGTCCGAAAGAATTGTTTTTTTTGTTGTGCCTGTTACTTTTGCGTCCCGAGGGGAGTGAATTAAAACGTTTTCACACATATTAGATCTATTTCAAGCTGGATCCCGTTTCTGAAAAAAATTAACCCATTACTTGTAAGGAAGTGGGACAGATGTAGTTATTCTCGCGGTCACTGACTTAATATGAAAAAACCCTTAGGCTTTGGGAGGTTATATTTCATCTGTTCTACCCCTCTTTTAGGATCGGGATTACAGCGACAAAATCTTAGTGGAAGGCGAAGATATAGAGATGATCAAGAAACACGAGCAAGAGAAAATGGCGGCGATGAAGGAGGATGAGTTGCAAATCGATGATGAAATGGAAGCGGTATGGATACTTTGTGTCGTTGTTGACATCGCTTTAAATATGAGCAGTTCGCCATAATATACTTTTGTCTTCTCAAAATACTCACAAATTAAAGCTCACATTTGGACTTTCTTCAAATTGGCAGCTGCATGACAATTACTGTAAACCACCGGGTGTTAAGCTTCAGGCCAATTTCGCTAGCGCCAAAAATACTAATATGAGGTAGTGTCCTATATTTATTAGTCTCACAGCCCCATTAAATCCCGATTTCACTGAAGCTAGAGAAGTTCCCTGTAAATAGAAACTTTCCCAGTCAAAAAAATGTCTGAAGATATGAACAATTGAAAAAATGCTATGTCACTGTAATTTGTGGTATTTCGTATGGACATTCGCCTCTTTCTATCTGACATAAAGTGGCTCAGATTGTCAAGGAGTATGATAGTACTGGGGCAATAGTGTCATTTTGTTGGTTGTGCTGTTCCACTAGATAACAGGTAAATAATGAATCAACCTGAATTAACCTCACCACAGCGAAATTTAGCAACAATTAAAAGATAGCTGGTTTTTCATTGCGCTTTTAGATTTCTTCCGTTATCTCTTTGCATTTTTTTTTCGCGTAAAACTTGTGTTGTTCAATTTGTATCGGTTTTAGGTTAGGCAAGAAATGCTCGCAGAAAGGTCTAAGAGGCTCGAGGAACATCACGAAAAACTGGGTGCAATCATTGCCAACCTACAGATTGAGAAAGCAAAACAGGTACCACTATTAACTTATTATCAAGAGAAATATCTTCCTTTTCTCTATACATGTACCTCATTGATTTTTTACTTCTGCAATGTTTTCGCAGCAATTTGAAAAGATGTGTTGCTCTTTGACTCATCTTGTACCTTTGCGAAGGAATTTTACCTGCTTAAGATAAGAAAAGCCTGGTTAAGTCTGAGGCTCGAGTGTTAATCACCAGACAGGACCGACTCTCAGGGTTTCTACCGAGAAGAACGTATTTTCTTTTTGACGACATCTAAATATATATGGGCGATCTAGTCTCACATGTCAGACTTGTCGAGGACCCGTCTCTTTCATCCTTACGGCTCTTATGTGCAGGGAATCATAAACATCTCAGGTGGTCAAAATAAGGAGCACAGTAGAGCACGAAGCTTTTAGTTTTGTGTTCTAGAGGTTGCCTTTGTCTGAACAGGTTCACACGTCTTAAAAAATCCAATTTGCTTATGACTTTAAACAAAACAAACAAACCAAACGATCAAAAGTTTCTCCCATCGGAGCCATGGAAAAGAAGACATTTAGACTCAGGTTTACACGTCTAGTGTCACTGCACAAGATTTCAAGATTATTTTTCCTTATTCTTACTAAAACGGCTATTGTCTTCGGAATAGATCTCAAAGATAGCAATGCAACAACAGGCTCTGGGCCAGCTTCAAGCAGGTTTAATTGATGAATTAGAATCCAAAGGAACCTTCCAGGATCCTGAGACGCAGAAAATTATGGAAAAATATCAAAAGGTACCTGTTATTTGTTATTCTAAGGAGGTGAGGAGATGGAAGAAATTGAAACCAAAAGACTGGATTCGCGGCACTCTGGGTCTTATTCCAAAAGTAATCCCTAAGTTACTTTTGGACTCAAGGTTACCCGCATTGGATTGACCTCATGTGGTAGGGAGGGGAGGGAGCAGAGATACTCTTTTGCACTTTATTTTAAGTCCTGACAAACTCACCGGAAGACGCTGTTAGTTTCATTCCTGGGCTTTGTTTTATTAATTTTAAAAAAATACACACATTTTCTTCTGTTTGATAGGATACAAAAAATCTTGAAGATAATTTGAAAGAACAAAAAGAAAGACAGGAAAAGGTAGGTATCAATATCCGTCGATAAGGTCTCTCAGATCGGCTTTTATCCTCGGAAATTATGCTCATAGGTACCACATTTAATCTGGAATTTTGGGACATTTGATTTTTTTTCCAGCGATAAATGTTCTTGTCTCACAGCCAATAACATCACGGCAAAGCTCATCAATCATGGTTCACGAACCGGAATTATGACGTTCGACTGACAAACAACCTCTCTCTTTCTTCTGATGTCGAATTCGACTTAAGATGTCGAATCGTTGGTCACCTCTACTGATAACAGTGCTTTTCAAGATTACGATCATTCAGATGATCAGACAACACGATAAAATATTCTTTTTCTTCACTCATTTTTCGTCTTCCCTTACTTAACTTGCTTACTGTGTCTCATTTAGGCACTGAAAGAACGCCTTCAGGAGAGGATGAGGCAGAGAGAGGAAACTCTTGTCCAGAAACAGAAGGTAAATCCCATAATCTTGTATTATTTAAGTTAAATAAAAAAAGCTCAAAGCGTAGATGCTGTTGTAAATGTGAGAGGGAACACGGACCCAACGAAGAACTCTCAATAGGAGATCTTTATGATAAAAGGGAACAACATTACAAACTGCGTACAGCTCTTTGCCATCCGCAATTATTTGAGTGTAATTATGTTTTCCCCTATATAAATGAGTAGTATATCGCTGACTGCTGGCGACAAATCCAATGTTTTTCCAATGTGATGTTACGATTTCTCGCAAAGGTCCACCGAAATAATTTTGCACAACATTCCATTGAAGATTCAAAAGTTTTTATTATTTCTCATTACTTACATATAAATTTTTCACAACATCGAACAACTTACTGGTTCTTAATGATTTATTTCCTCTAAGGACGAGTTAACTCAGTACTTAAACGGTCTGAACGTGAACAACATGGCCATGAAGCTGCGAAAAGCTGCTTTGAAGGCGAGACACGAGAAGGAACGCAATGAAATGAAAAACAGACTACAGAAGGAGATTGACCAATCGATTAATGAATTAAAGATGACATTTGACATAAAGAGAATGCAGGCAATTGAGGAACAGGTAGTTAAAGAGTAGCGTTTGTTTTAAAGCTCTTTTCTTCCGGGTGTCTTAGAACCGAAACAAAATAGTTGCACTGATCAATCAGAGAGGAGGAAATTTTCAGAGGAAGCCAATGTGAACTTACAGTAAACACTAAACAATCAGCCCAAGGTGCGGGAAAACGCGCGTAAGTAAATCCCGAGGGGTTTCCAATTTGGCACCTGATTGGTTGGGACTGTGTTTCGAAGTTGTTTGAACCAATCAAATGTTGAGAATGGGAAGTGCTTATATTAAACAAGTTTTGCAGAAAGGGAGCAAATCTAGCCTTGTCGTGGGATGAAACTGGATAAACACTTCGGGTCTCTTTTATTGGCAACGAGTTTTATTCTGTTGGAAAAGAAATTTGTTTTTTAGGTGTCCGATGTATTTGCAATGTGCCGGTGCGTAAGCAAACTTAGGCGAATCAAGCAAATTGTGTAGATCCTTCCTCTTTACTTATGACAGCCCTAAATGCTATCGAATGAAGCCTTTCAATTCCCTTTAGTCTTTTTCCAAATGGGCCTGATTTTTCTCTCTCTCTCTCTCTTCTTTTCAGAATATCAAGTTGATCTCCATTTTAGTTCAACAAGGTAAACTTCAGGAAGGTGAACTGGAATCTGTGCTCAAATACCTTTTCCCCAAAAAGTAAGTTCTAACTTCGTTAAAAGTAGTTTTGTAATTTTTATCGTCAATTTCTTTATTAGCAGCCCACCTGCGAGGGCCATTTCTTTCTTTTTTAGGACCTGTAAAGTTCCTTTCTTGATAATGATGTGCGACTCTTTCTCCTCAGATCTTCTAACGAAATCGACGAGCTTCTCTCTAAGATATACGGTTCAAATCATACTAAAGAAAGTAAACAGACTTTCACAGACCCTCGGTAAGTTTGTAATACTGATATCTAAGTGGTATGACGAATTATAATCTCTGAACATTGAGCGCTGGATGAATTGTTAGAGGGTTGTTTGCACTATACGGGAGATTTTATCGTCAGCGCCTTGGATCGAAAGCTCCTGCGTCAAGCTGTGGGCTGGACAGTGTGTTGTGATGTTGGTCAAGCCACTTTACTCCCACAGTGGCCATCCTTATCTCGAAGTATGAATAGGTACCGCCAAAGCTGTGCGGACAATGCTAGCAGGTACCTGCCATTCACTTGCATACCATCAAGGCTGAATAGCAATATTGCTCGGCGTTTCATCCCAAAGAATTCTTAATCAACCGCAGATAAGCGCGCGGCCGTTATGAAAGTCATTTTTTTAAAGATACGCAATGTATCTATTTTATTTTTTCTTTTCGCAATTTTTTTTCTGATACGAAAGTTATGGACGAGACAATTAAAGTGTTGAAGTTATTATTTCAAACATTGTGTTTTAGGAGACCAAGTACATTAGAGGCTAGGATCAGAAGGAGAAGTTCTGTCCATATGACCACGCCTCCGACAGGAAGGTACGTGTAGCTTATTTATTTTTTGGGTTTTCGTCCTAACATAATTAAATTTGACTTTGGACGATTATATTCTGATTTAGTACTTTTCCCTTTATTTTGACAACGCTGCACTAACATACTCCCTTGTATCATTAAGCTTAACGCCTGCTCACATTTAGTATTGCTCATTCCTTAATGCTATGGGCTTCAATTTCTCCAGCTGCTGACACTTCTTAGCTGTTCAGATGGGGTTGCTTTAAGGTCGCTGTGACAGTCTACGTCTAGTGACTTAAGAGTTCTAGTGGAGGTTTTTGTTGTAACGAAAAGATACTCAGGTCGCTGCGTAGCATCGCACATTTTCAAACTGGTGTGAATGTGGGTGATGATATGTCGAAGGAACGTTTTCCGGGAAAAGCAGACCCGGAACAGCTTGTCACAAAAACCTATCGCTGTGGCAATCGCCAAGTGTTTTCTCTGGCCCTAAATTGAAAGCCTCATAGAAAACTAACAATTATCGTAGCGTTGGTGTCGCTTGTTCAATAGATTCAAATTTTTTGAGCCGTGTTCACACTTACTCTCAAATAACGTTTTTAATCCTATACAACACCCATTAAAAGGAGGAAAATCCACTAAAAGCCAAAGTTGTCTCCAAAATTTGCATTTTGCAAATCCTTTGATATACAGGAGAGCTCTGGCCAATCAAAAGTAGGAATGTGCCACAAGTTCACGTGGCAACAAAAGAATTTGTCAAAATTAAAACGTTTAACTTTTATAGTAACTGCATGAGTATGCTTTCAGTGAGACACCTCCGTCTGATCCAAATCACAACCAATAAGAAGACGTCTTAAGTCAACGGCCGTGACATGACAGGTCAGTTATTGCGTGACCTCCTCAGTGTGCTCAAATGGCGTTACTTCCTCTCGTTTGACATTCTAAGGCTGACTTTTGTTCTAAACTTATTAGACACCATGACATTTTCCATTTGATCGAATCCTCAATCATGATTTGCACTCGTACTAGAGCGGCGTTTTCTGTCTTATTTTAATTATATTTACTGTTTTCGTTTGTTTTTGTTTTTTTGGTTATTTAGCTCGGAAACGCCGTTGTAACTAGCACAAAATGAAACCGCAAGCGGTATTTAACGAGCGAACAAGGCGTAATTGGAGTAGTCGCGCTAATCTATGCTATTTTCTTTAATTTTACTGCTTTAACCTTGCGCGTAAAATTGACATCTAACATCTCAGTAGCGTAACTTAATTGTTTACCTCTATATCCTGATAAAGTAGTCTATATTCTAGCCGCAATTACACAGCACATCGGTCAAACGTCAGGCATGCGCGAAGGGATGAATTCTGGCCGGTTGCGCAGCAATTTCGCGCGCAGAATTTCATAGGGAAACACAAGAATTCTCGCAAAAGAAGCAATGCAAAATTGACACGTTCATAGAAATCAATGAAGGTAAACAAAAGAAGGGAAAAGGAAACTCGAGCCTTTTTGGATACAAAACGTGTCAAGTGCGGGTATTCTCTTGACTTTTGAAAAGTCAACGGAATGCTTATGTGGTTGTTTGTAAGTTGTGAGCAGACGTTTGACCGCTGTGTTCAATAATATTGCATTTGCTTCCCATGTGAAAGTTAAGGACACTTATTCAAAAAAAGTTGCTAGATTTGTTTAAACGATTTACAGTTTCCGTGATAAATTTCTTGTCGCTTTAGTTACACTTTCAAATTTCGTGCTTTGGGAATTGTCTCTGAGCAAACTCTGAGTAATTCAGTCTCTGTGGATAAGTAAGGGAACTTCTGATGGAAAAAAGCGTTAGTTTTTTTATTTCTTACACCGCTTATAATACTTCTTACGGGAAAACTTGCTAGTGTGGTGGAGTAAATGAAACTTCCTTGCAAATAAACAGTGAACTATTACACTTTTTAATGGCCCCTGATGCACTCTAGAGTTCAAAATACTTCACTAATTATTTTAAAGACCACCGTCAAATGGGTGAAACTTGCGATATCTAAAAGAGTTCAAAAGATCGAGCCCGTAAGCGGTGATTGGTGGATTTAAGTTTTTTGTTTGTCTAGAAGTACCTATCATAGTCTGTTATTGGTCATTGTAAACACGATTGGCGGCGTCAGAAGGGAATTATTTCAGGGTGAAGTCTTCAATATGTGTAAAGTCTTGTTGTCGTGGGGCATAGAACCTGTGCAATTGGTTCAAATG